TAAACATAAACAATACAATCTGCATGTATGGTTGACGCTGTACTGCTTTGCAGCACGTGATTCATGTACAATGGGAAAGCTATAAAGTAACCATAAATAGTCATTTATTGTGTAGTAATGCCTCATAATCATTGATGAAAGTAATTTCAGATTTGTGGAAACGCCATAGGCTTTTGGTAAATGTAGTAAATCTTGTGTATCATTTAAGTTGTGTATTTATGTGTGAAATGTTTTCATATGACTCTCCAAAGGATTTGTGATGTCCCCGATGACACTTGGTAAAATGTTGTAAAGTATGACAAAAGTATTGAGGACTATGTCTGTAGGTTTTGTTTATACTGTACTGTATCTAACTTTGGTAGTCTTGACACATTGACTTCACACTGCTGTTTGAATGTAAATGGTTTTGTTTTATTCTCTGGATGTGAAGAACGTATATACACATATATTTACATACAATGTCTCTTTTTTTATTATTTCACTGAAGTAGACAATGTCGCTATCTTGTGTGTATCTACATACTAATACAGTATGTAGATACACAATATACTATATTAGTATACAATGCAATGTCTTTGCAATAGTTAAATTGCTGTCCTGCAGCAACTGCATCAGAATTTGTGGAGGAATTTCTGAACTTCTATTTAAAATCGTTGAGGTTCTGGCTGGACTCTGAATGTAAACAGTGAATTTCTGTGAGATGGCAACAGATATGACAAACTAAGCAGACAGACTTTATGCACTGAGGTTGCTTCAAAGATAGCAACTGACTGCAAGTGGTTGTAGACTAGTCACTGTCTCTCAAAGGCAACAGTAACAATAATTATGGTTGTGCAACAGTCTCTAACCACCAGTTTCCTTAATTTGACTGTATGATTAGCAAAAGATACCCAAGCTAAAGACCTGCATCAAACTGCAGTACAATGCCCATAAAAAGTCCTGTTCAGGTTGCAAACTCTCGCCTGCATCATTCTACAGCCATTCAAGCAAATCTATTCAATTTAATACTTCGGTGTAACATTTCATATCATTCTCACTTGTCCCATCTACTATATACTTGATTTATGAGTTTTGTGTTGAAGTGAAACATCCCAAAAGAACACAGTGTAACTGAATTGTGTAGTTGATTTGACACGTCTGGGACTCTGTAGTGGGGGCTGTTGTAATGAGAAACATCTGCTATGTTGCCAAAGAGTCCCCACTGAAACTGTCAAAGCGAACAAACAAGCTTCATTTTTTTTTATGTTGTTCCGTTCCCGAATCCCTTAAGCGTTGGGTAATTTCTGAAGAGTCTATTAAAAAAATCATGTGATAATGGGAGATTATGACTAACACCATATTAATACAAATTACTTAATTTAACCTAGTTTATGAGCAACATATTAACAGGTGACTAAGTGCACAAAACTTGAAAGTGTTGCAAAGTACAAAAAGACCATGAGGTGCAATAATATTTTTTTTTTTATTAACATTGCACAGACAAGTTGAATTTTATAGAGTGAAAAATGATTCATGGTCCCGCACTTTGATAGTTTGATACGTTTTTCACAAATCTATAACCTGTCATGTCTTATGCATTTAGAACTGTCTTAATTCTTCATGGCACCGACTGAACTAAGCGTAGGTTTCCTCACAGATTTTGGTCCATGGCTGCTGGCTGATGGTCAATCCAGCTGGAAGCTGCGGTACCATCAGTATAATGACAGTA